TTGATTCGTATATTTCTGTTCTTACTTTCCCTAAATGGGTACGCATATGCTGTAAATGAGTGTGCGTATTTAAATGACGAAGTTGTGGTAGTAACTAAAAATACACTAAAGGATTATGAATTCACGTGCGAACAAGAGTATGGTTATAAATTCTTAATAACGGTCGAAGATGTGGACGTAAATAAGAATTATCTTTTGATTAAAGCAGGTTTGATGGAATTATATTAAACTAATTATTAAATAAACTAGTATACTTAAGGTACGTTGGAGGATAGCGATGGGGAAGGTGTGGTATTCACGCACAAATGGATGAAGGAAAAAAAAAGTTTTGTCATTGCAACAAATACGTTTTCAGTAAAATTGAAGACTTCTACAAATCTATATTTAAATAAATTTAAAATTAGTTATCAAAGAATTGGTGAGTTCGTTGATATTTCTTCTTGAAAACTTGGACCTCAATAAGCACGTTTTAGGAACCAACATTATAACGACGACCGAAAATCCTTTCAGCACCACGTTGTGGCCAGATCCTCAACCGGGCGATAAGGTACACATCACAGTAAATGTCGCCGGTTATAAAAATGAAGAGTACAAGAAGAACCCTTTACAGAAACAGTTTAAAACTGCTGTTTCTGATATGGCAACTGAATACTGCAAGAACAACAATATTGAATTGAATGCACCAATAGAGTAATAGACGAACGAAATGTAAATTTACTGTTATAATATATGATTGTTAGTTCAAGCAATGTCGCATTGGCTGAGATGCAAGCATGCCCATACAATTGGCCTCGCAATGATGAGTGCGTCGAGATCAGGTTTGCTGTTTCGGTGAGCGCCAAAAATAAGTCTCGCGGATACGAGCTGAAAGCTGGACACTTGGAACAGATGTGGGAACATTACGAAGCTCAGTTGAAACCTTACAGGTTTTCCATTTACAGATTACCAGAATATAGTGAAACGATGATTGGCTGGGCCGTTCCAATGGCTATAATCATCCTAATTATTATCATTATAATAGGAATACTGTTTAGTATTAACTACTTCAAAATCAAAGCGTTTATTGAAAAGTATCTCTCATTCGCACTTTTAGATTATTTCAACTTCACTAATTGTATTATTTCAGCAAAAAGGATAATATAGAAGATGACCCTGATAACGGAATGAATAGTACTTATGACGGAATGCATCCTTGCAAGTTTCAGGAAACGGGCGATATTGTCGAAAATCAAGTTCATGAAAGATCATTTCATTATGACAACGTTGTTAACTTATCGGATGACTCAGAAACGGAAATTTAAATTATTAATGATAATAAAAATATAAACGTTTCTAAACACAAACAAATTTCATTCATCATATCTTAATACCCCACACTTACATTTCGAAATAATTCAAATTATTTTAGATACAATTTATAATGTACACTTTTATAGTAAATATATTAAAAACTAGAGAAGAGTTACTTCTTAAACTTCAATTAAATTGAGCACAAAATGAAATAGAATATCTTAAACAGATGTAAACTGATCAAATACTCAAGAAATATATTGTACTACTCTTCTGCATCTTATAAAAAAGTAACTTTAACCAATAATTAATGCTCACCTAATTTTATTTGTTGTGCTTTTTATAGAAGTTATGTATAGGAGTATGAACATTGTATATGTCATGGTAAAAGTATATAATCGGTTAATGTATATGTTTACCGACCTTGTAGGTAAACGTTAGTATAAATCTTACAGCAGCGTCACATATCTACTTTTACCGGTAAATGTTAACATTTACCTACGTATATCGGTAAAAGTTGAAAATAATAATGCTTCCAATTGTGCACCGACTGAATGCCTTAGGTTAGGTCACCAGCAAACAATGTGTTACTAACTTATATATTTTATTTACCTATATAAACCTATATAATATATTTCCTGGAAATGATGGGTAAATGTAAGTTGAACTTACATTTACCGATTATGTACTTTTACCGTAACATTTACATCTTTTTTAATAATAATTATTAGTTTGTAACAATTAAAAAATAGTAAGCGATGCATAACTTTGAAAGTCGAGAAACATCGTTAAAATTCGTGGAGTTTCAGCAATACCAACCAATGGTCGTTAAAATAAATATTTGTAACGGTTTTTTTTGTTGCTTTGATTTTTCAAATATTTTGTTATTACATTCATAATTGTTATCTTTGATCCGTTGAATCCACGTTAATCTGGATGATTTAAATCTAGAACTGTAAAAAACGACGAGTGAAACGAAGAAATCAGTGCGAGATTATACTTTCCGGAAGGTTATGTTTGCACCTGTTCTTCTACCTGTTGGTGATGGCACTTGTTTTCGAGGGGGTGTGAACCGGTGTGTGAAAAAGGGCTTTGCTTGAAATGTTAATTTGCTTCTAAGCAAATACGGTTTTTTTAGCGGTGCATTAAGATAATATTTATTAAGAAAGTGATGTCTTCGTCGTGGAGAAAAGTCGAGAATGAAAATGGTTTTCCCTTTTATGTTAAGTATGTAATTCAGTTTGTTTTCACTGAAAATGCAGATTCGAGATGTTGATGTTATTCTTAATGAATCTACAATAATTGTTGCTTTTGTTTTAGTGAACTTGATAATACAAAGCAGTGGGATAATCCGAAATATACTGAAATTCAGCAAAGAATAGATGATTGTAATTTCATAAAATATGCTAATTATCGTGTCGCTTCAAAAATCCAAGCCATTCAACAATCTTTGTATTGTAAGCTATATAAGTATACAGTATAATAATTAATTATTAATATTTATATTAATGTTTTAGTAAATGAAGTTTCACTGGTGATTATTAGTGGTGTGTTTGAGAAGCACAGGCTAGGTATAACAGAAGGAACATTATGTTTGGAGAGCTGTGATTTGGAAGCTGTGTTATCTGACATATACTTTGCTACAAAGAACCAAAATCATTTAAACTTTGATGTGGATTTTATATGTGAATTGGCACTTAACTTCTTCTACAACATCTATGACAAGTATGTATAATTGATATTGTATATGTATTTTGCTTTGTGCAAATAAATACAGATATGCAAATATAATAATTACCATAATTACGTTTCAGGGAGAGGAAATTCAATATAGATGTGACGTCAATTAAGTTAGTGTTGGCTTTAATGAGTGGCTGCCCATTATTGGAATTGTATAAATTTATTTTTAATCTCTGCTGTGATCACAACAACTGCGTCACTCGCATGAAACTGCAAACGGTGATGACGAAGATGACAAAGTTGACCGAATACCTGAACGAAAGTCTGAACTTTGGTACTCAATTAGTAGCATCGGCTGTCGAGCATTGCTTCAACAGCACACCTGGATTTGTCGGTGTTAACGAATCCACCTTCATTGGGTGGCTCGAGTCAACACCTGCAATCTTAACCTGGCTTCCAATTGTGCACCGACTGAATGCCGCACAGAATGTGTTCCACAATGCGAAATGTTCGGTGTGCAAGATCTCGCCCATCAAAGGGCTTAAATACAGATGCGGCAAATGTTTCAGATATACCCAATGCCAAAGGTGCTTTTTCCAGGGTCGCGTCAGCCATACCCACAAGATCTACCACTCCATGAAGGAGTACTGTGGTCAGGCGATCGATCTGAAGAGGAGACTGTGCCAGTTCATGGGATGTCATAAATATGACGACAGTATAGTCGGCGTAGCCGATGCTAAACTATTCCGAGATCTAGTCAAAGATGAAGTCAATATGGAGCCGCAGGAACCGCCCCTGAATCAATTGCAGCTCATCATTAGACAACTTGAGATGCAGAACAGAGACTTACAGCAAGTGCTGCTTCTTGGAAATAGAACTGAAAAGGATATGAAACGTTATTTAGAAGAGCATAGGCTTCACGTCAGCACGCAAATCTCCAAATTGAAAGTTCTCAAAGTAAATGTTTATGGACTTTTCGAATAACCATAATTTTAACCTACTCTTTTTCAGGAACATTTAAACTCGAAACCAACACTTCCATGCGTTACGAATAGCCAATTGGAATCGACGCCGATGCCGCAAAACGGAAGATCAGGAAGCCGAGCTTTGAAAGATTTGGAATTTTTCAGTCCCATATCCAGTAAACCGGAGATTAAAGAACCGGAAGCGAGACTTTCGAAAATACCATCCTTCAATTTAGATAAATCATGTAAAGAGTACAACAGCAGCATGCCTTATTCGATAAAAGATATCAGCACGTGGATAGGAGGCAACAATCCAACGAACTCCGATTGTTTAGCTGAGAAATCACCACCCGTACAAACTGATCTCGACGATGCATTGATAAAATTGCAACAAATACTGGCCAACAACTTTTCTTTGGATGGTAAAAGAATTAACATTTATTAATTTTTTATCGCTTGCTCTGGAGATCCGATGACGACAATATTTTCTATATACATTTTTTCTTCTAATTAATAATATTGTCATTGCAAATCTGATCTTCTGCCCTTAACTAGCTACGATTAAGATTGCTCAATTGATATATGTAAATGTTCACATGTATTTTATTTTTTTATTTCTAGAATCATTGGGAAATGTTGATAATTTTCAATTGAAGAATGCTGTGACAGAAGTAGAAGGAATGTTGTCTTCGATAATTGACAATGTTGAATGTAACAAACTCGGCACCAACGTCATTGACAATTTCGATTTCAGTTGAAGTTCTTTTCTGTTCTCAATCTTTTGTGCGCTTCGGTTATAAGATTAAATACAACCAACGACTCTTAAGATTCTATGCTGCAATAATACATTTTATTTGTTTACTTTGGACCAAATATGCTTTAGTTTATTTAGAGAGGATTATAGTTATATGGAAATTCTATGAAAATATATTTTTTTATATATATATATATACACACACATACATATTAACAAATGAAAAATTTTATATTATATATATCGTATATTATTGTAATCTGATAAAGAAAAGAAAGAGTAATCAATTTCGAAATAAATTTATTTGTGAGTTATTTCCTCGTAAAGTAAAATACCTTATCTTTTCATTTAATCTAATCGAATTTCCTCTAGTATCAGTTCCAGTTTAAAGGCTAGTGTAAGTGTGTACATACACAAAATGATGATCCTTATACTTATCTCGATATTAGGCATAGCCGGGGCTCAGAACCTCTTCTGCTCAGAAGAATTCTGTACTGTAAGCTCGTAAAGTACAAGCCATAATAAATTTCTTTAAATAATTTGCTTTTTAGAAATATGTGGCAGAAGTGGGTTGCCCGGGTCTTCCAGATGGATGCCATATACAGAACAAAACGCACAACGGTCTCAAATTGCCTTTTCCTGGTCCGTGCGATTGCTGCAAATATTGCCTTGAAAATATACTAGAAGATGAAAGTTGTTCAGTAGGAACTCAAACCAGTATTGTTCCAAGTACCATTTGCGGTCCTGGTTTATACTGCAAGACAAATGTGTATGATGAATATAAATGCTTAGAAAGTATTCGTATATAGGGAATATATTTATATTGTAATATTTGAATTACGATATTTTAGTGAAATCTGAATGCGCCAACAAACAAGCTGACTACGATTATCGAAGAAGAGTTGGTGAATTAGGACATATGGAATTGAGACCAAACTGTGATCCCGATGGACTATTTAAGCCCTACGTGTGTATTCCTGGGGAAATGTGAGTTTCACTTGTTTCTATTAAACAAAAATAATTAATTAAATATTTTTTTGCTAGTTGCTACTGCGTTAACGAAAAAAATGATCGCATTTTTGGAGAAATTCCATTCACGTCTTTAGCAAGTTACAAGATGCATTGTCATTGCTCCAGAGCACACGACACTATTTCTCGCTATATGGGACAGTCCCTTCTTCGGCACGAACATATGAGGTGTAAATCGGATGGAAGTTACGATCCAATACAATGCATAGGGAAGCAGTGTTTGTGCGTGGATTCGGATGACGGAAAGCCCACCTTTCCGAAACTTTCATTAGTAAATATGACGCGAATTTCCCAAAAAACTCTACCTTGCTGTGAGTCAAATAAAAAACAAATTACGTTATTGCAATATGTTGAAATAATTGTTTCAGTCGAAAATGATACGCACATAGAAAACTACTATTATAGAGTATGTGAGGAAGTGCTGATGAGAAAGGTGGATGATATTATTGAATTGAAATTGATGGGTCATGATATTGTAGGAGTTGTCTATCCAAAATGCCAATTGGATGGATACTATGCACCAGTTCAAAGCGATGGTAAAAAGTAAGAGGCAACTGCATGCGTTTTACAAACTTGCGAATACTAACTTCTCTTTATTTCAGGCAGTATTGCGTAACTCCTGAAGGCATCACTATGGAGGATTATGTAATTGATCTGGTGACGGATGAGAAATTAGCAAAGACCATGAACTGCAGTAAGATCTGAACTACAGAAATTTATGAATTATTATATTTTAATTTGATATTTTCGGTAGATTGTGCTCGCGCTCTATCGATCATACAAGGAAATGAAAAACCAGAGTGTCTGAAAAATGGAAACTATAATAAAATACAATGCAGACGTGGACTATGTAGGTGCGTTGATCCGAATGGAAACCAAATAGGAAAAGAAGTAGATTTGAACAAAAAAGATCAATTAAAATGTGTGTAAATAATTATTGTGTGCAAGTATAATAAAAAATATCTTAGAATATTCTTACAATATTATATTTATACAAATAGCATACATTTCTTTTTGTTACATTTCTCGTTGAGCTTAGCTTCATTTTGTTTACTTATTAATTATTTTAAATTAATTAAAATTTGAATGTATGTACCAAAGTCAGCGTCCTCCAATTACATGCAATTATTGATGTTAATTTGGTTGTATACCAAGATACAAGTATATGGGCATATGATGGATGCATACACGAACAATTGTAAAAATCTGAAGATGGCGGATAGTTTGTTTTGAAGGTTAATTATTAGTTATTATTTTTGTATGTGGTGTTTGTAGAGAGTTATTTGATTGAGAGAACGCAGAGAAAATTATTGGCATACGACTCGGATTACCAAAAAAAAAGAACAAAGTAAGCTAATGAGAATTTGCTTAATCAAACTGTAGGCAGTGTCAAACTATTTTGGCTGATATTATTATTAACATTTGTTTATATTTTTTTTTAGATGAGTAGTAATCACAGTATGCAGGTGGTTTCAACCCCTGCAAACAGTGGTGGTGGAAATGCGACCCGCTTAAGAGACATTGAGCATTTAAGTCAACTCTCAGACAACCTATCAAGCCTATTCATGAATCCTGATTACTCGGATGTAACTTTTCTTGTTGAAAACCAAAAGTTATATGCTCATAAAGTATGGCTAATATTGATTATTATTTATGTACAATGTGTGATTTGATTTGAATGATTCTAGGCAATATTAGCAGCACGGAGTGATTATTTTCGAGCATTATTATATGGTGGTTTAAAGGAGTCCAATCAAGTAAGATAATAAGAAAAATGCAAAATAATGAAATGTTTATGTATATTTTTGTAGAGTGAAATTGAACTCAGTGATGCTCCACTTGAAGCTTTCAAAACTCTATTAAAATACATTTATTCTGGTCATATGTATTGGAGAATATTGAAAGAGGAAGTAATATTGGATACACTAGGTTTAGCAAATAAATATGGCTTTAGAGAATTGGAAAAGGCAATTTCAGATATTCTCCAACAGCTTTTGGCAATGAAAAATGTGTGCGCCATTCTTGACACAGCAAGACTTTACGGTTTGGAGCAGTTAGTGCAAGTATGTAGAAGATTTTTTGATCAACATGCCACAGAGATTTTGGTCCACGAATCGTTTACGCAACTATCGCAAGATACTCTTGTCGAGCTGCTAGAGAGGGATTCCTTTTATGCGCCTGAAGTAGATATATTTAAAGGCGTCAGCGCTTGGTGCAATGTTAACCGCGATTACAATGATCGCGTGATGAATTGTGTTAGGTTGCCATTAATGACGGTCACCGATTTACTAGCGTTTGTTAGACCAGCCAAACTAGTTAAACCTGACACGCTCCTTGACGCAATAGCTGAAAGAACGAGTTCTAGAATTAGCAGTTTACCATATCGTGGTCAATTATGTAAGTTAATAATCGGTATAAGTCTTTTGTGTAGCAATTCACAACTTATCTTTTATTCTAGTGGTTGACGAAAATGTTGCTTGCCAGAGTATGGGTTCACAGGTGATAGCTGGAGAGCTAATGGAAGCTTTACTGGACGGAGATCATTACAACTATGATCTGGAGAGAGGATATACAAGACATGCTATTGGCGCTGGTTGCGATCAGTGCATTATAGTTAGACTGGGAAAACCTTCAATCATCAATCACATCAAGATGCTATTGTGGGATAAAGATTTAAGGTACAAAATCGTATTTACAATCGGCGCTTTATTTCTATTGAATGTTTTAGATCTTATTCCTATTATATTGAGGTTTCAATGGAACTTAAAGACTGGGCAATGGTCGTAGATTACAGAAAATGTGCGTGCCGTTCATGGCAAACATTGTATTTTGACACGCGCGTCGTGCAATACATAAAAATTGTGGGAACCCACAATACCGTTAACAAAGTATTTCACTTGGTGTCATTCGAGGCTTACTACGAAGAGAACATCCCCACTTTGATTGACGACATTATTTGCCCTAATTATAATGTGGCGACTCTGCTCAAAAGTGCGTATGTTATAGAAGGTGTTTCGCGGTCTAAAAATGCACTGTTAAATGGAGACACTAAACATTATAATTTGGATTCTGGATATACTTGTCATCAATTAGGATCCGGTGTCATCCTAATACAATTAGGTAAGTTTGTACTAATAGTAATTGATAACTATTATCTTTTTTTTGTTTAATCTTAGGTCAACCTTACATTATTTCGAGTTTGCGATTGCTCCTTTGGGATTGTGATGACAGAAGTTATAGCTATTACATTGAATCTAGCGTTAACATTTGGGACTGGGAAGTTTTGGTGGATCGAACGAGGGAGAACTGCAAATCTTGGCAAGTGGTGACGTTCCCCCCGAAACCCGTTGTTTTTATTCGAATCGTCGGAACTCGGAATACTGCAAATGAAGCAAGTCCACTTTTATATAATATATTTAATGATTTAAAAAAAAAATATAATTTTGCTTAGGTATTCCATTGTGTACATTTCGAGTGCCCTTCGAGCGAGCAAGTGGATTGGAACGAGACAATGAGCGAACAGAAACCGGAAACATCAAAACGGATGTTGACTGTATCCAATGTTGCTGGTGGGTCCGATGGAGGAAACGGTCAACCCACAGAAACGGCTACAGAAGCCGAAGAGTTGCCATTCGCTCTAGAGGATTCAATTGACTAAAATATCATTGAAACTCAACATCCCTTCTATTTGTTCTGTTTATTTTTCATCGTCATTCTTGCTAACGTTTGCGTCCCCCAACATTGGTTAATCTTTTTTTTTATTTAGATAAATTAATTTATAGGCGGTCGCGGATATATTGTGATTATTTTTGTTTTACATTGACGTTTATATCTATATATAAATTTGCTATTTATTAGGTTTTAAGGAAATTAAGTATTATTAGGGCTACTTACTAATGCACACTTATTAGAGAACGTATATAATAATATCAATAAAGTTGAGCATTTTCATATCATTAAAGAAAAAAAAACGCTTAACCACATCTAGTCCAAATGTCTCCGAAATACTCCTGTCCTCTGTTCATGTCCTCACAATTGGACTCGTTCTTCACCAGCAACCAATGACCGCTGACAAATTCTCGTCCATCGCAAATACGACATTCTCCTGCAGAATGTAAATCTCGAAATGAAACTTTTGGGTTTTGTTGTTCTTAATGTTACCTGAAAATGTAGCCATATGCAGGGTGTTTTCATGTATTGCAGTGACTATCATTAGACTCAACTTGGGGAATGGAATAAGTACTGAAACAGCCCAATCTGAACTCTGGTTAAAGAACCCAGTTTGGTCATTGAGTGCACGAATTGGCACGTCAACTTCGCCCCCTTCCTTCAATTCCGTGATGTTAAATTGGACACCAGCTTCCGCCGATTTCCAGGAGCCTTTTAACGAACAAGGCATACCTAATTTTAAACATTCAATTTACTAATATAACTTTTTATATTTACAATTTAATATAGAAGAGTAATAATAGATTTTAAATAAAGCAAACATCAACCTTCTTTTTCTCCGTTGAATCTTCCATATTTTAATTGTCCGATTCCTGTTTTTATTGCCGCCAAAGTATCTTCAACGCTACTCGTGTTACCACTACCATCTGCAGACGGGAAATTATTCACAGTTGAGTGCGTCGTCAGACTCATGGGCATAACAAAATTAACATTATACTTCATATCTTTGGTGGTCGATTTATCTGTAGAGGATCTATCAATAGCTTCGCATGTTTCTCCTTCTGGTATATTTGCACGAACACGAATTGGATTCGTTACAGTTTTCTTCATCAAATTCTTAATATCCTCTCCAATTGGAATCACCAAGTTTGGCAATGCTCGGGATGGGTTTATAATAGACTTAGGAGTATTCAGATTTGTGGAGAATACCAAAGGACGAGTGGATTCAGTGGGAGATGATAGCCGAGGTAGATTTGCAGTTGACTGAGTCATAATCAGATTTTTAAAGTTCAATTCGGTCTGAATCGCCGAATTTGCCGCTAAAGTTATTAAATCGTTAACATTACTGTTTTCAGACGGCGGAGCGGATGTAGGCTGTATCTGGATGTTGGACATACTTGCAACACCGGCCATAATATTATCGACACTATTTTTAACAGGTTCTTGAGCTGGTATGACTATGTATTGAGGTGAAGAACCTAACACATTATCCAAGTTTTGGTTGTTTGTAACAAATTGCACGGGATTTACTATGTCCGAAATTTGTATCGAATTTATATTTGTAGGTGGTGTTATTACATTCTGACGGTAGAGCAAGTATTGCCGTTTATTTCTGGGAGCGTCTTTGGACCTCATCAAGTCGAGCATTTCTTTGGATAAACGTGTCTGCTTTAAAAAAGGATGGGACTTAATGAAATAACTCCTCTTGTAATTATGAAACTCATCTTCCTTTTTTGGAAAGCAGCGTCCAAAACTGCAGATTAATAAAATTGTGAGCAGTTTCATAATCACTTTTGATGTAAGAAATAAACAAACGAATTTAGGCACGGCCTCATTTAAATATGTATTTCAATGCAAAAATAACAAACTTCTCAATACAAACATTCAAATGCAATGTTGATAAAATGTTCGTAAAAAATCTTAAATACTATTTCTTTTTAAATCACAGTATTATACCATCATTTAACGATTAAAAAACGCAACAAATATTCTATTGACATTAAAAAAAAAATTAGACGTTGCTATTGTCATATTATAATATATAATAAGTAAACTCCTTTGGGGAGATAAAAAATACTGAAACTAGTAACAAAAACGTAAATATAAAACTAACTTTCACGAATAATAAACGCAATATAGAAAATATAATATATATAGGAAATCAACAAACAGCCTTTGGAACTAAATATAAAGTTCATTCTATAAAATGATAAACGTATGAATAAGGAATTACCATTCCTCTTCAATTTCCTCCACGGGATTTTGATCGTAATTCTGCGCACCAAAATTGTCACCTCGTACATCGGTTCCTCCAAACTTGTTAAAGTCACCTGCCATCGAGGCGGAGCCTAGCCAAGCGGGGATTTCCTGCCCAGCCTGTTGGAGTATTCTAGCCAATGCGCTTGCAATGGGTCCGTTCACTTCTGACTCGTAAAAGCTTGTAGCTTTTCCACTATTTCCGACGCGCCCCGTCCTACCAATCCTATGAACGTATTCGTCGATGCTGCTGGGCAAGTCAAAGTTGATCACGTGGTGGACATTTTTGATGTCCAAACCGCGCGCGGCAACACCTGTAGCGATCAAAATTGGTTTTGAACCAGTCTTGAAGTCATATAAGGCTTTCTCGCGCTCCCTCTGTAAGCGGTCTCCATGGATACTAGTAGTCGGCATGTTATTCTCACTCAGAAATGAAGCCAGGAAATCAGCGGTGCGTTTAGTCTCCACGAAAACCAACGTTCTCTTATCGGAACCTAAAAACAGTTTAATAAATTGCCGTTTACATAACGTATTATCTATATTCAACCTTGTTCATTAAGTATTTCTATCAATTTGGTCCTCTTTTGGTATTTATCAACTTCGAAGAAGATTTGCTCTACATCCGAGCATGCACCGCCAACAATTCCGACGGTCACAAAAATGTAGTTGTGCAAAAATTTACCAGCGAGATGCTGAATTTCTTCTGGGAACGTCGCCGAGAACATTAGCGTCTGTCTATCTCCCTGCAGTATA